ATCTAACTGCTCAAGGTGCAACCCTTCTGCTGCAACAATGCTAAGAACTGAGCGAATGGTACTTAGTTTCACAACCGGGGAAAAAATATCTGTTTAGTCAATGCCTTGCTTTTGTTGAAAGCCTTTGATCACCATTCTCGCCTTGTATCTCTTGGAACCATCATGTTCTTCTTTCACCCTATACACCTATTTGTTGTGAAGAGCTTTCTTCCCCATGGGCAACTTGGATAGTTCCCATGTTTTGTTAGAGATAAATGACTTCATCTCATCTTCCATTGTAAGCTTCCACTTGCTAGCATTTTCAACTTGACATACTTCATCATAGCATTCAGGTTCACCATCATCTGTGAGCAACATATAATCCAAATATTCCCTATTTGGTACATGAGGTCACGTAGACTTTTTGGGTGCAGGCATAGGAGTTGGAATCTACGGTGAACTATGCTTTGTGAGTTATAGCCAAGAACCCTCATCTATCTGCTCCGCATCAATGCTCTCTGGATCATCATCCAACTCAACAAACTCAGGCTTACTCTATACAGGACTAGTTAACTATGCTGTATCTCTATCCCTGTACATCACCTTCTCGTTGAAAATCACATCTCTACTTCTGATGATTTTCTTATTCTGATTATCCCAGAGTCGATAACTGAACTCATCTCCGCCATACCCAACGAAGATGCATTTTAGTGACTTGGGGTCGAGCTTTCCCCTAGCATGGTCACTAATATGTGCATATGTAATACAACTAAAAACTTTCAACCATGAAAGATTTACTTCTTTGGCACTCCATACCTCTTCTGGTATTCAATGCTCCAAACGCACCGATGGTCCACGATTTATGAGGTAGGATGTTGTATTAATCGCTTCTACCCAAAACTGTTTGGGTAGACCCGAATGTATGCGCCTGGATCTTTCTGTTAATGTTCGGTTCATCCGTTCTGCCACCCATTCTGCTATGGGGTTCCTTGCACAGTCCTATTTAATCTGATCCCATTATCAAAACAGAATTTCTTGAACCCAGTGTCTTCATACTTACCACCATTGTCTGATCTCAACCTTTTGATCTTCAAACCTGCCTCATTCTCCACCATGGCCTTCCACTTCTTGAATACATCAAATACCTCAGATTTGTGCTTCAAAAAATAAACCCATACTTTCCTCGTGTGATCATCAATGAAAGTCACGAAGTAGGATTTTCCGCCAATGAATGAAACAGTGGTTGGCCCCCAAACGTCTGTGTGAACTAGCTCAAGTTTCTCCTTTCTGAGATCTTTGCCACTCTTCTTGAAACTGACCCTCTTTTGTTTGTCCATCACGCAACTCTCACAGAAGTCAATATCAATTGCCCGTATGCCTGGTAGTTTCCCATTTGAGTGCATAATCTTGAACCCCATTTCACTCATGTGACCTAGTCTCTGGTGCCAAAGATTGTGACCTTCTCTGTTTTCTGCAACTGCTATAGACCCACAAGCACTGGTAGTTATGTAGAGAGTGCTAGATTTCTTACCACGTGCAATGGTCATAGCGCCTCTGGAAACTTTCCACGAGTCTCCATTGAAGGTTGTAACAAAACCTTCATCTGACAATTGTCCCACTGAAATCAGATTCTTCCTCAAGTCAGGGATGTGTCTCACATCCTTTAACTTCCAAGCTAACCCATTCAACTTGATTTACACTTCACCTTTGCCAACGACATTGCAAGGCTAATCATCACCAAGATACACCTTACCAAGGTTACTCGATTCAAAGTTATTAGATAGCTCTTTGTTTGAGGTGCCATGAAACGATGCGCCAGAACCTAAAACCCATGACTCCGCCTTGCTCTCCAAAGAGCATATCAATGCATCATCTGATTCTTCTAAGACAAAGTTTGCCTCAGTTTTTCTTTCGGTCCCCTTCTTTGGAAGTCTGTAATCAACATAGTAATGTCCATTCTTTTCACAATTCCAACACTCAACATCACTAAGATCTATGGAATTCTTAAAATTTTAAGACTGTGTCCTTTCATTCCTTGACTTGGATCTGCCTCTGTTTCTATTACTGTTGCCCTTCTTCTTGTTTCAACTCTTGCCTCTGCTTTCAACATTCAACGCCGAACCACAGGTGGAAACCCCTGCTGTTTGCCTTCTAATTTCTTAAGTCAGAATCATGCTCACAACTTCATCAAACTTCAACTTGGTCTTCCCTGCAGAGCTACTGATCGCTGTAACTGTGCCACTCCAACTCTTGGGTAACTGCCCTAGAATTAGCAGTGCTCGGACCTTGCCTTTGAAGTCGATAACAACAGACTATAATTGCCCAACTATCTTGTTAAACGCATTTAAATGTTCGTTGAACTTACCAGCTTTGACCATCTGCATGTTGAACAACTTCTTAATCAAGTGCACCTTGTTCGCTGCAGAAGGCTGTTCATACATACTAGAAAGGGCTGCCATGAGAGACTTCGTCGTCTTCTCGTTCTTGATATTGAAGGCAATTGACTTTGACAACGTCTCTGCGGTGCCAAGAGCCTTCCTATCAAGTAATTCCCATTCTACATCCTTTGTATCCTCTGGCTTCTCTCCCAAAAGTTGATACAAAATTTTCTGAAACAAAAGGTCTTCAATTTGCATCTTCCAGAAACTGAAGTTTGTGCCATCGAACTTCTCGATCATGGATGTGGATGTCTTATCTTCTGATACCATTACTCTCACTCGAACGGACAGATCTGATCGAAAGACTTTCAAAATTTCGTCAAACACCTTCTGTACCCTGGGTTCACAACCAAAGGCTCTGATACCAGTTGTTAGAGTTGCACTACACAATCAACCGGATTTGATACAAATTATTGTGGCGAAAACGTAAAATAAACAACACTGTTCAAGGAATAAACAAGCAATCACGAAGAATAAAAAAAAAAATCACACATAAGAACAGAAGATATACATGGTTCACCCAAATCTTAGGGCTACGTCCATGAAGCACACCGAACAAATTCACTATGAAAAAGATGAAGAATTACAAGGAGAATTCTCTCTCAATTGCTCTCTCTTGTATTGGCACACATTTATCTCTAACTTTCACCCCTATTTATAGAGTCCCAAACTAGTCCTACAAGAACTTGCCTTTTGTATAATCCAAAACCAATAAGGAAATTAAATCAAATTAGGAAATTGAATTTTTCTTAAACCAATAAGGAAGTCAAATCAAATTAGAAAACTGAATTTTTCCTAAAATTCAGTACTCTTGAAGTTTCCATATAATTAAATCTTCCTAAAAATCTTCCACCTAATCAGACTCCACAAAACCACAACAGTTAAAGAGGGTATTTATGCTCGTCGTGTCCTTTATATGGAAATCAGAGGTCAGGGGACTATTCCCTTGACTCGTACTGATGAAAATTTGACTCCACGAGAAATTGAACAAAAAGCTACTGAATTGGCTTATTTCCTGCGTGTACCGATTGAAGTCTTTTGAGAAATGAAAACGAAAGAATAAGAATGAATGTTTTCTGGGCAGGAGGGAAAAACTCAAGAATTCGCTCTATAACATAACTTAACTGAAGTTTCTTCAGAACGCTGATTCGAGCCAAATCAAACGTATACGGAACAACCATAAAACAAACTTTTTTTGTCCATAAAAACAGTCTTTTATGCGTATGGAAATCCACTCAACTCAATTCGGTAACAAAACAAGTAACAAATTGAAATAATAGATCCACCTCATATATCAAAATATTTCAAAATAAAAAAATTTATCTTTTTATTTTAAGTCCAATATTTGTTAGAATGAATACTTTAAATCCAGATAGATCATATCTTGTAAATTATTTCTTTTTTGTCAATCGACGTTTCTTCCTTTGCACTCCTTAATAACCAAACAATTAAATCACTTATAATGATAACTATCTAATTTGTCTTCTTTTGCTACTCATTTTTATCATCACAAGATTCTTCAGACATTTTATTCTATTTCTGGACTATAGGTGGGGTAGTCAGTGAAATTTTTTCGAAATAGTTGATATTTTGATAGAATGAAAGAAAAGGATTTCTTTCGTCTCAAAATTTGAATAATATTCATTACTTGAAAGTGGTTCTTTCGGGCATTCATCGAAAGGGGAAACTTGCTTCGAATTTGACTAATTGGGATATCTGGAAACAATATTTTTTTTATTTATTATTTCTTCATTCTAAATTCGAAGTGGATTCTGATTCTATTTCTTTATTCTTTCTAGATTCAAGGACTAACCACGGAATCACAAATAAAAAACAATGAATAGATTCATAGGTTCGATACCTTATAATAGAACTCATGCTTGATAGAAATATTAGATCACATAGAGTCGACGAATGAGATGGGTTCATTAACAATTTACAGATGAAAAAATGGCAAAAAAATAAAACATTCACTCCTCTTCTTTGTATCTATAGTATTTTTGCCCTGGTGGATTTCTCTCTCATTTAATAAAAGTCTGGAATCTTGGGTTACCAATTGGTGGAATACTAGGCAATTTGAAACTTTTTTGAATGATATTCAAGAAAAGAGTATTCTAGAAAAATTCATAGAATTAGAAGACCTCCTCCTCTTGGAGGAAATGATAAAGGGATACTCGAAGATACATCTACAAAAGCTTCATATAGGAATCCACAAATAAACGATCCAATTAATCAAGATACACAATGAGGATCGTATCCATACGATTTTGCACTTCTCGACAAATATAATCCGTTTCATTATTCTAAGTGGTTACTCTATTCTGGGTAATGAAGAACTTGTTATTCTTAACTCTTGGACTCATGAATTCTTATATAACTTAAGCGACACAATAAAAGCTTTTTCTATTCTTTTATTAACTAATTTATGTATAGGATTCCATTCGCCCCATGGTTGGAAACTAATGATTGGCTCTGTCTACAAAGATTTTGGATTTGTTCACAACGATCAAATTATATCTGGTCTTGTTTATACTTTTCCAGTCATTCTAGACACAATTTTTAAATTTTGGATTTTCCGTTATTTAAATCGTGTATCTCCATCACTTGTAGTGATTTATCATTCAATGAATGACTGAAAACCGATCCGCTGATATTAATCCAATTATAATGTTTCTTACTTTGTATTTGTACATAAGTAAAACATTTTTTAATCGTGCTTACTCTTTACATTTCTACCCATATCGAGGATTCGTCTTATATTTCAGTAAAATTATTCCAGTAAATAGCAGAATCGTGGATAGGGAACTATAATAGCGACCTACCCCAATTTATTGTAGAAATTTTCGCGATCAATAATTGGACCATGCAAACTAGAAATACTTTTTCTTGGATAAAGGAACAGGTTACTCGATCCATTTCCGTATCGCTCATGATATATATCATAACTCGGGCATCCATTTCAAGCGCATATCCCATTTTTGCACAGCAGGGTTATGAAAATCCACGAGAAGCGACGGGGCGTATTGTATGTGCCAATTGTCATTTAGCTAATAAGCCCGTAGATATTGAAGTTCCACAAGCGGTACTTCTGGATACTGTATTTGAAGCAGTTGTTCGAATTCCTTATGATATGCAACTAAAGCAAGTTCTTGCTAATGGTAAAAGGGGGGCTTTGAATGTGGGGGCTGTTCTAATTTTACCTGAGGGGTTTGAACTAGCGCCTCCTGATCATATTTCTCCCGAGATGAAAGAAAAGATAGGCAATCTATCTTTTCAGAGCTATCGCCCCAATAAAAAAAAATATTCCTGTGATAGGCCCCGTTCCTGGTCAGAAATATAGTGAAATCACCTTTCCTATTCTTTCCCCAAACCCCGCTACGAAGAAAGATGTTCACTTCTTAAAATATCCTATATACGTAGGCGGAAACAGGGGAAGGGGTCAGATTTATCCCGACGGGAGCAAGAGTAACAATACAATTTATAATGCTACAGCAGCGGGTATAGTAAGCAAAATAGCACGAAAAGGAAAGGGGGGGTATGAAATAACCATAGCAGATACGCCGGATGGACGTCAAGTAGTTGATAATATCCTTCCAAGCCCTGAACTTCTTGTTTCAGAGGGCGAATCTATCAAATTTGATCAACCTAGTAGACAATTTTGTGTACTCGGATGCCACCAATTGCTTGGCCTAACCCATACCTGGCAATAGACGGGTCAAAGAATGGACAGCTCAAACTCAACTTTTTATCCAATTTAATTTATAATTTAAATGGGTTGAATGTAGCTGAAGGTAATTAAAGACCACTAAACCTACTCAACTTCTTCATCCAAATCTACTACATCAAATGAGCATTATTCATTGGCTTAGAGTGTCCACTGTCTGAATGGGTGTGTCATGTTCGAGTCTCTCCTTTAATTACATAAAGTTAGAATAGAAGCGTGAACGAATTCGAGAGCGGAAATGGGAAAGCAATAAAATTAAGTCACAAAAAATAGAAACGATGGCAAAAATGCGCTCGGAGCATTAGAGCGAGAGCATACTCAAAGTATAAGAGCCCGATAAGAAAGATCATGTGAGTTAGGTCTCTCCCGTTAATTTGTTAGAATATAAATAAAATATTTAAATAAATAAAAATACATTAATATATGTTTTTAACATATTTATTCTACATTTTGATACACAAATATATATATATATATATATATATATATATATATATATATATATATATATATATATTAAAACACAAAATAATGTATTAAAAGTAGATGTAATAATGTTGAAAAAATAATTCATGTTTCAACAATATTAAAAGTGTTTTAAAATGTAGAAAAAATATATTGAAAATAAATATAAGTGTATAAAAAAAAATAAAAAAATAAAAATACCAAAGGCTACGGCAGGTGATTGAATACTGGACCGTTTTCTTCCATACAACTCTTTTAAAATACAAAAAAATTATTTCATGGTTTCGAGATATCTCAATTAACTAACACTTAGGCACATCAAAAATAAATTAAATACATAAAATTTACACCATTGATGTGTCAAGTGTTAGATTGGCGGAGACCAAATCCTAAACATGTAATAATTTCTACGGACATACAACTGTGAGTTGCGTGTGAGACCTGTGGCTCGTTACAGCATGACGTGAAGTCATTAAATGACATCAGGCGAGACAACATTGTCAATCATATCTTCAGACTATATAGTATTGTACATGAAAAATATCTTTTAAGCCGGAATCTACGTAAAAAGCAGTCCAGAGTGCCTTTACAGTCCGACCAGTTATTCCGCACTTTCTCACTTTTTCAAATAGTATCCCAAAAAAAAAAAATACTCAATTCGTCAATCCACTCAATCGTCCAAAAATATTCGATCCGAATTATAATCATAATTCATATTAAATACAATTTGAACTGACCCAACTTAACCCAATTCAAGTTGATATTGGGTTGGGACTGGACTGGATTGGACCAGCCCAACTTACAGTCCTAACCCAAATGCTTCATATTTTCATTGTTTACTTCTATCATTTGAGTACAATAAATTAATTTCTCTCTCAATTTTAAAATCAGACATGTGTATTAAAGTATTAATTTGCGTACGTGTCTATATATTTTTGTAATATGTGAGATACTGAGATCTATGAGAAACCGTAGTTTATAATTACTCTGCTTTTTAAAAAAAATAAAATAAAAAACAAAAAAGTAGATGAAATATTTTTTATTAGATTTTTTATATGATTAGGTAGGTAACATTAGGAATCAATCTCCTGACTAGTTTTTTATTATTATTTTCTTCATACGAGGTGATTTTTTTATTTCTTTTACTTTACTGAATTTATCTATATTTAAAAAGATTGATGAACATAAATTAATATGATTTATGTCTAACAACTCAATATGTTGAATTAAACCACATTCTATGTTACAATTTTATTCACAGAAAAAAAATTGTACTTGATATGTATTGCAGTATTCAATAATTATGAAATTTTAGAAATTTTCTGAACCTCATGTCTAGTATATCTAGTATAGCAATGCAAGTTGCTATGGCCGACCAAATCGTCTCTGAGATTCCCTAGGCAACAACTTTAACAATGAAGACAAATTAGGATTAGATGAACCTTTCAATTTGAGCTAGTGTACTACTATATAGCCAAGCAAAACATGAAGCACATTTCCAAAAAAAAAAAAAAAAAAAAACATGAAGCATGTTTTAGTAATTTTGTTACTAATTGAATAGTACTGTGTTGTCAAAAGAGGTTCAAGTTGAAAACAAAAAATTGTGATCTTTGCTTGTTTCTGTGCAATAGTAGCAATAAAAAAATAATAAACCAAAATGACCATTTTTAACTAGTTTTTAAATATTCTTGAAATAATTTATTTTTTTATTATATTTTTTTTTATCAAACACATATTTCTAATTACTATTGAAAACTTCCACAATAACAACAATGTTGTTTCTATTTCATATGAAAATAAAAACGCAAAATCAAAACGGTTGCGAAATAGAACCTTTGTGAACAGTCATTAATGACAATCCTAACAATCTATTGACTTTGCAAACTATAATTAATAATATTACTAATTTTATTATCCAAAATAATATTATTACTTTTTTTTTTTTTTGCAAGAAACTGACGCCCAATTCTTTGTTGTGACATATCATGTGCTTTCGCATTGCTTATACAACAATTAAATTTCATCTTTATTTCATTGTGTTGCACTTTGTGATAAAGTTATTGACCGACGATACGTCGATACATCGAAACATGTGTTGGGATTTGGATTCTTTGCCTTTATAGGAAATTAAACGCTTGAATTTTTTATTTCGAAAGGTAAAAAAGTACTACTCAATTAAATCTTTAGTGATGACATCATTAAATGTTTTAAAGTAAACATAAAAAAATTTCAATTGATAGAGTAGTTCTACTAGAATTTCTCAAATGAGTATATTGCCTCTTTTTTTTTTTTTTTTTTTTTTTTTTTTGGTAAGTAGTTTATTGCATTTTTCACATCATGTAATCTAGTTTATAAATTTCATTTGCATTTCGAAATGTTACTTATTTGGCGTTCTTAAGACAAGTCAATTGAATTTTATAAAGTATTCATTTGCATATATTTATGGTATTGTCCCCATCTTACCAACCAAAAATATTATTTGAGGTTCCATACATATCACGCGTCTAAATTATACTATTAGTAATTAAAATACGTCACCTTAAAATGTCCATCCATCTTCCTTTTCATAATAAATTAATGAAGACACTTTCTAAAATAATATTATTAATAAAGACTTTGACTTACAGCATATGTTCGATATGTTAAGTGATCGTTGTTCATATGTTACGTGGAAAATTCAGCTTTTAATATTTTTACAGAAAAGTAGGGATATTTTAAACTTTTTTACAAAATTATAGGTAATTTTGTAAATAAATAAAAAATCAGTGCCACTCAATCTTTTTGGATTAGTGCCTGACAAATAGCTTGAGATGAACTCCACAATGTTACTTATTTTGAATACTTGATACCAGAGTTAATTTTGAACCCAAAATTAAATGGTTTTTGAACATTTAATATAGTTATCGGATATTAATAATTAATAAAATTATCTTTTAGTCTTTTGTGTTAAAATTATCTTTTAGTCTTGATTGTCATTGAAAAGCAAATGGTATAGAGAATTTTTTTTTTTTTTAATTGTTGTTGTTGTTGTTTGAAAGGTCAAACATTATATTATATATCTTGAAACAAGTGAATGATTCGATTCGTATACTGTCCACCCAATTGGGATTTGAAATCATAGAACCACCATTGACATAGCCCAATACCCTATCTACAAATAGATACGGAGATGATAAGGGAACAAATTATATACTGTCCACCTAATTGAGATTTGAAATCATATCACCACCATTGACATAGCCCAATACCCTATCTACAAATAGATATGGAGATGATAAGGGAACAAATTACAGCCATGAGGTCGATAGAGATTAGATAGAGAGCGTCTCTCATGTTGAATGCGGGAGCTACTTTTTCTGCTTGAATTTGGAGTTGAGTCAGAGATGTGATGCCGATTGAATTTCCATCCAATTAGGGGGATATTTTTGCCTAAAACAATCTGCCGACTCAAATTTGAGTCACCAAATCATTATGACGAGTTTAATAACAATTTGGCTATCTCTTGCTATGAATTTCTTTCCTCTACTCAAAAACTTTAAATGAATAGTCCTCGTAGCCGTCATTATCGCTTTGATTTCATATGAATCGCGTGAATTCTCTTTTAATTTCTTCACCTACTATATTTAAAAATAAGCAATACTTATATCCTCATCTATAAAAATGTACACCATGCTCACGAACAACTAATAAATAAACATGTATTCTTTTCATATCTGATTTAGTAAGTGAATATGTATCCCTACACTCTCTAAATTTTTTTACAATAGTGGGTGTCCGTACCAGCTTGCGCGCACCTCGACTAATTACACGAGGTCCTGAAGTTAACAACCAGACATGCCTCCAGTGACCCTGAGGAGACTCGAACTGATGACTATTGAGGAGCAAATCTAAAGCCTAACCAGCTGAGCTATCATGCAGGGTTACTCTCTCTGATTTGATAATTAGAAAGAGCGTATCCATTTATTATTGACCCACGTCAAAAAAGTTGAGTGTGAACAATGTACATCGTGAGGACCTAAATATTATCCTACTTCCATATTATTTTTGATTGACCTCTTTAGTTTCTCACATTCCATTATAACTAGCCTTTATCATTTGATTAGTGCATCACTTAAGTCTCTGATATAGTATATGTGCAAATTATCCAAGTCTTCTTTCTCGAATTTTCTGATCAATATATTCTACCCTTAATTTTATTTTATTTTATTTT